CATCTAAGCCACCCTTCCAGCCCAATCCACCAATCGACCCTCACCCTCACCCCTTTTAAGGGATCAGCTAGCAGCCCCTCAGGGGGTGAGCAAGGGAACCTGTTACTTGTTTTTGCTCCCTCATTGCTGCAGCACGAATCCCAGTAAAGCCTTGTCTGAATTCCTCATCTGGCCTCTTACCAATTTCTTTTGATTAAAGAGTCCAAGGGGACTTCCCTGGTGGTGCAGTGTTTAAGAACCTGCCTGCCAATGCAAGGGGCATGGGTTCAAGCCCTAGTCCAGGAAGATCCCACATGCCGCGGAGCAACTAAGCCCGTGCACCACAACTACTGAGCCTGCGCTCTACAGCCCACGCACCACAACAACTGAAGCCCACACGTGCCCTAGAGCCTGTGCTCCGCAACAAGAGAAGCCACCGCAATGAGGAGCCCGCGCACCGCAAGGAAGAGTACCTCCCGCTCCCCGCAACTAGAGGAAGTCCGCGCGCAGCAGCAAAGACCCAACACAGCCAAAAATAAATAAATAAATTTTTTAATAAAAAAGTCCAAGGACCCTGATCAATAACAATACTGTACTGTGAAAATAATGAAACTGACCATAAAAATAAAGATTAAAAACAACATAAACATACACAAAATTAAACACAATATGAGAACTGTTTTGTAAATGTGGGAGGGTTTTTTTCCACATATACTTGTCCGGCCAAGACTCCTTAAAGTGTGAGTCAATGAAAGTTAGACTGAAAACATCTTTTTTCTGGAAAATCTCCCTATGGAAAATGTTTTTCTTTGCTCCAAGAAGTTGAAAAATCATAGTTCTGAGATTATGGGTATTTTTATTCTTTTTGCTTACTTGTTTCTTTCCTGTGTTAAACATGTGTTACTTATGCAATTTTTTAAAAAAAAGAAAAACTTAAAGATAATTGGGAGATAAAAATAAAAAACTATTGTCAGGACCGAATTAATAAAGGTTGTATAGAAAATATACCAATCATGCATATTTAAGTGACAAATAACAACTAGAAAACTATCAATTTCCAAGTAAATATTGAACTTAAGACTATATAGTCAAAGTATAATCACTGATTATAGGGTTGAAAAAAAGAGGATGAATTTCATCAACAACACAATAAAAATGATTACTTTTGAGTAATGCAAAACATAAGCAAAAAATTCCTAATTTAAATTAGCATCCTAGGTCCAAAATAAGTATAATTATATCTTTATTTTTAATGGGGGATTTTTTTTTTAATTTAAGGAACATTATAGAGGTTCCTTAAAAAACTAAAAATAGAATTAACATATGACCCAGCAATCCCACTACTGGGCATATACCCAGAGAAAACCATAATTCAAAATGACACGTGCACCCAATGTTCATTGTAGTAATATTTACAATAGCCAGGTCATGGAAGCAACCTAAATGCACATCGACAGATGAATGGATAAAGAAGATGTTGTACATATATACAATGGAATATTATTCAGCCATAAAAAGGAACGAAATTGGGTTATTTGTAGAGATGTGGATGGACCTAGAGACTGTCATACAGAGTGAAGTAAGTCAGAAAGAGAAAAACAAATATCGTATATTAATGCATATATGTGGAACCTAGAAAAATGGTACAGATGAACCAGTTTGCAAGGCAGAAATTGAGACACAGATGTAGAAAACAAACGTATGGACACCAAGGGGGGAAAGCGGTGGGGGGAGGGGTTGGTGGTGTGATGAATTGGGTGATTGGGATTGACATGTATACACTGATGTGTATAAAATTTATGACTAATAAGAAAAAAACCCCCACAAATATCACATATAGCAAATCTCATGACATTGTACACTTCAAATATGTGCAGTTTATTGTATGTTGGTTATACCACAATAAAACCAGAAAAACCTAGAAAAAAATTAACTAAACAAATACTATGTGCTTAGATCATGTGGAAAATGTTTTTACAAAATGTCAAGCAAATTCCCCCATGTTGAACAGTATGTAATCTATTTGGAAAGATGTTCACAAAAAATCAGAAAAATAAAAGTACAGTATAAAAAAAAAAAAAAAAAAGTACAGTATAGTATATGATCAAATATTTGATTGTCTAGCAAAAACTAAATGTATACAAAGTCAGACAGAAGTATTGGAATAAATTTCTTCATGAGATGGGATTTAAGATAAATTGTAAAGAAAGTGTGGGGAAGTTTTTCTCAATGAATAGTGTAGAAAACCTGCATCGAATTCATCTAAAGAGCATATTAAAAATACAAGTTCCTAGGCACCATCCAGGACCTGTGGAATCTCAATCTCTGGTCTCTGAAATCTCAATCTCTGAAATCAAGGAATCTGCATTCTAATACTTCCCTCAGAAAATCCTTCCAAGATGAGCTGATGTTTACAAGACCTTTCTTTCAATAGTTTCATTTACTGGCTGATATGCAAAGTAAAGATTGAATGACTTTTGGTGGTCATGCAAGGAAGTCTGAAGGGTCAAACACGGCTACACTTCCAAAGAAAATTTGCTGAGTTTGGGTACTACGTGTAGGATGCTGAGTTGCTCTACAAAGGCCTCTAAAGCACAGAGTGAGATCTTCCATAATGTCATGGTGCTTAGAAAACAAAGTCCTACTGGAAGGATGGGGCCTGCCTCAAACACACATTCAGTCTCCCCATTAAGACATTTGCTAGATTTCAGTGCTGTAGGATGTGGGAAGCTAAAGAGCAAGCTCAACACCTCTGAAAGGAAAACCTGAATTTTCTCATCTTTGGGGGCCAAGAAGATAGAGATCTGTTAGATTTTTAGTCAGGCCTGCTCAAGTTATAGGAGAAAAGAGATGGACTGTGGTTCAGTCCTACTAAAACTAAAACTCAGCCTTGACCCCTTGAATCCCTGATTGTATTAAAGTTGTCGGCTATTCACCTTCAAACAGTGAATACTTTCCAGTGGAAGATAATGTCTTCTGAATCTCTTACACTTTTCAAACACACAATGTTGTACCTAAAACAAAAAGTTGTTAAATGTGTGAGAAGACAGAGAAACATGATTTATAATCAAGAAATAAACAGGGAAAAGAAGCAGATCCAAAAATAATTCTCCTATTGAAGAACTCAAAGATTTAAAAATAACTTTAACCTGTTAAATAAAGAAAAATGTATACTAAATGAATGAAAAAATGGAGATTTAAATAGAATATATTAAACAAGATTAAGATGGACATTCAAGAACTAAAAAATAAAATATCTGAAATTAAGAGTTAAGCAGAAAAGATTAGTGAATTCAAAGTCAGGTCAATAAAGAATGGAAAAGATGAAGCACAAGAAGAAACAAAGAATTGAAAAAGATATAACAGAGAAATATGGGAAATTGTTAAAAGTTCTAATATACATGTAATTGGAGTCCAAGAAAAAGAGAAGAGTGAGAACAAAGTGGAAGAACTATTTGAAGAGATAATAGCTGAGTTTTTAAAAACTGGTTAAAAGGCATCAGTGAAAGAATTCAAGAAGCTCAGCAAATCCCAAACAGGATGAAAACAGAAGACACACACAAAAGCACACATACACAAGAATACATACACACACACACACATGACAGATGGAAGAGGATTGCCAAACTACTGAAACCAAAGGCAAAGAAAAAAATTTTAAGCAGGAAGAGGAAAAAAAGACATATGACTTTGAACGGAGCAACACTAAAACTAATGTTTGACCTTTCAACAAAAATTTGGAATCCAGAAGACAACAGAATACATTTTTAAAGTGCTGGAAAAAAGTTGTCAACTTACAATTCTGTACAGTCTGTTGTAAGATATCATTTAAAAATGACGATAAGGACATTTTCAGACAACAAACTCTGAGAAACTTACTCATCAGGAGACCTGAATTATAGGAAATACCAACAGAAGATGTTCAAACTCAATGAAAATAATCCCAGATTATAAATTCAGAACTGCTGGAAGGAATAAGAAAAATGTAAAGGGTAAATATACTAGCAAATATGAAATATTACTGGCTGTTTAAAATAACAGTAACAAAATAATGTATTTTGGACCTATGTAGAAGTAAAATATTGACCAAAAAAACCCGAAAGGTGAAAAATGAATAAATAGATTTTACCTGTTGTAAGGTTCTTGTTTGAAACATAGTGTAAGTGATGGGTTAAGGTGCTATGTAATAAATCAAGGAGTCATATTTTATCTTGAGTAACCAATAAAAATTATACTAAAATGTATAACTAAAAAGCTAAAAAGGAGAAAAATGGAATAATAAAAATACTCTATTATTCCTTTCTTGCCTACTTTTGGATTAAAGGAAAAAAGAACAGAATTAGAAAACAACAAACAAGATGGTAAGCTTAAACCCAACCATGTCCATAACATAAAAGGACTAAATCTACTTAGAAGACCAAGGCTTGATGAAAAACTAAAATCAACAACGAAAACGAATATTCTGTGTGTTTGCGTTTCCCTCCCTCTTTCTCCTACTGCTGTTGGCTGAATATGGAATAATCAAGATCAGTTTTTGGAGGACTAGGGGAAAAGGAAAGGGAGTTAGCAAGGAGGTGGAAAAGAACGACATCCCTCTCTCCCCCTTCTGAAGCTCAGATACACAGCTATTAGACAAAACAAAACGACAACAAAACTATAGATACGAAAGGTCATTTTCAATAGGAAATAAGAAATATGTGTTTCTATTAAACAGCACGTTGTACTGTAGTGTATATGGAAAATTACTTTAGCCTTCAGATGTAACTTTTGAAGAAAAAAAAAAAAAGCCGGATGGTAAAAGAATAGTTTCCCAAGTAGTCATGATAGTTAAACCTAATTAATTAACCTAAGTAATTCAGAATAACTTTTTATTCAGAAATGCTTGAGTCACTAAACTTAGATAGCTATAAATCTAAGATTACACCGTTTGAGACTAAGAAATTAACCCACGCGGCGTAATTATTATCGAGTTAATTTCAACAAATATGTACTGGCAATTTTTCTCCGCCCCCGACCCCTAGTTTCCAGCACCGCTAACATGGCGTGAAGGAGCGAAAGTGACGGTAATTGAGGCAGAAGCTGCGGTAGCGGCGCCCCGAAACCCCAAGGGGGATTCTTCCTCCGCTAGCTGCAGCCGGGCCGGGAGGCGAGTCTCCTCAGCCTAGGTAGACCCGTGGCCCCGCCCCACTCTGCCCCCGCCCCCGAAGCGTCGGGCCCACCCGACGGCCGCCGCGTTGCTATGGAAACCACCCCCGCGTTGCTATGGAAACGACCGTCGCTCCGCGCAGCCAATACAGAGATGGCGGCTGGGGAGCTGGTGCCTTTGGGCGGCTACTACTTCAGATTCCTGCCTCAGAAAACCTTCAAGTCTCTGAGCACGCCGGAGACCACCAGCCGGCTCCGCCAGTGGTGAGAGGCCGAGGGGCAGGAAGAGAAGAGGCCCTCGGTCTTCGCGCCTGCGGAGACGCGGGTCGGGCGGCGAGGCGGCCCCTTCCTGAGTGAAACCGGGAGGCAGCAGTAACAGGGGCGAGGGGCGGACTTCGTGGGTGGGACAGGCTGAATGTGCTCCCCCAGAGGATGCTACCCCAAGTCGACTGTCTTTCTCTTCTCTGCCCCAGGTCCATGCTGGGTAGAATCAAGGCGCAGGCGTTCGGGTTTGACCAGACGTTTCAGGTTTATCGGAAGGATGATTTCGTTATGGTTGGTATGGGGGTTGGAGAGTCCCTTGGACCACTGCTGATTTTACATTTTTTCCCACTTCGGCATAAATTCTTGTGAAGACGCCATTACTTAATGACGTCGTTTTCTTGGAGTTTGAGAATAATAAAAAGGTTCAAATGATCAGTTTTAAGAGGAACTTTTCTATTTCGTATCACCATAAATTAGCTCATCTTCAGTATCCTGCCATATAGAACTTTTCTATTTTGAAAAGTCAATCTCTCGCTAGAAAATTGGGTCTCTCTTTTAGTAGGTACACCTAATATTATCCAGCTTTATCACCAGCTTTATTTACTAGGGTTAGCTTCAAAGTACTTCTGGTTGTTTCTCGAAATCAAGTCTACCCTGTGAGTACAGGCTCTATTAGCAGTTCCAATGAAGAATTCCAGAAAAAGTCTTAAGCAGTGGCAGAGTTATTGGAATAAGTCTTTAGCTGGTAGAGGTAGCTGCTTTGAAAAGGGAAAAACTCATTTGAAGGTGCAAATTCTGGTGTGTTTGTTAAATTTCATTCACGTTATTTAAAATCCTGAAGTTTTTTAATCCTCAGTTAAATGGAAAATACTGTTATGGTTTGTGATATTGTTTTTGCCATTCATGCCCTTCAGGCATTGACTGTAGCATAGTTGACATAGTTTATTTACTCATTCACAAACACTTCCTGAGAGCTACCATGTGCTAGGAATTCTGTCAAGTGGTGGGGTTGCTAGAAGGAACAAGACAGACAGGAGCCTGGCTTTCAAGGATCTTACAGACCCGTGGCAAGACTGCCAACAAATAAAAAAATCAGATCATCTCATACAGAATGATAGTGCAGTGAAGAAAATATTAGCCTAGTTAAGAAACCAAAATATTTACTGTGAGGGAAATTAGTTTCCCAGGGCTGCTGTAGCAAAGTACCACAAATTGGGTGGCTTAAAACAACAGAAATGTATTGTCTTACAGTTTTGCAGGCTAGAAGTCCAAAAGCAGGGTTATGCTCTCTCTGAAATCTATAGGGACAAATCCTTCCTTACCTCTTCCTAGCTTCTCATGGTTGCCAGCAGTCCTTGGCACTCCTTGGCCTGCAGCTGCAGAACTTGAATCTCTACCTCTGTCAAAGTCCCGTAGCGCTCTCTCATCATGTGTCCATGACTGTGTCTCTTCTCTTTTTATAACACCAGTCATTTCGAATTAAGAGCCCACCCTACTCCAGTATAACCTCATTTTAACTAATTTTATCTGCAACAACCCTGTTTCCAACTAAGGTCACTTTCTGAGGTTCCAAGAAGGACATGAATTTTGGGTAGAGGGTTGAGGGTGGAGTACTCTTCAACCCTGAACAGAGGGTAAATTGGTTAAATGTCTATTTCCCTTTACCTAAGTTAGTGTTATAATGTTAATATAATATGCCACTGATGATGGCATTAGTGACATTTCTCAAATATTCATGGTAAGATTTGTATAGTTTTTAATATTTTTCATTTATGCCAGTACTGGCTCTCAAATTAATATTTTTTTAAAAGGAGATGATCAGGATTTTAATTTGCTGAATTTTAGAGTGCTGTACAATTTTTAATATAAGCCATTTACTCAATAAATATTTGTTGGATACTTACTGTATCCCTGCTGGGAGGTATTAAAAAGATGATGAGACCTGATCCCAGCTTGTAAGTGATGTGTACAGTTTTGGAAGCTAGAAATGTAAAGAACTCTCTACAAGACAAAATAATTTCTATACTGGAGGATATATAAGGTGCCCTAGGCACAAGGAAAACAAAAGATCACTCAATTGGAGGGTCGTTGTGTCAGAAAAATTTCATAGAGACGGGTGTAGAATTAATTTGAGTTTTAATAGACACAAAGTTCTTCAACAAAATCAAAATTCATCCATAAAGCACAACAAATTTCCAAATAGCAGGCAATTTTTTTCAAACTAATTTTCAATATCTTCATGTTTATTTATCCTAATTTTTTCCTGTGAGGTAGACAGTATTATTCCCATATTTCAATTTAAAGAACTGTATTCATACAATCATTATTTTTACTCATGTAACTAATTTGGAGGAAATAAAGCACTGTGGCTAAGAGCATGGCCCAGAAGGAGATTTACCTTGAAGCTAATGAATCTTCAGGGCCCCTCACTAGCTAAAGCTCCTCACTTAGAGAATCCCCTTCCAAGGAACTCAGAGATACTCCAGCAGTATGTTCACATGTTTTTGGAGTTTTTCAAAAGTAGATGTTTTGTATTCTTAGAGTCCCTAAAATCATTTATGCTTAGAGCCCTACAAAACCTGGATCCCCCGCTCATTTGGCCTCAAGTTAGCTGTCTCTGTTCAAATTCCAACTCTTGCCACTTGCTGGCTCTATGACACTGGGCAAGTTACTTAACCTTCTTCAGCCTCTGTTTACGTTTCTGCAAAATGATCACAGTGCTTGTCTTTTTGAAAATGAAAATAATGCTGAATATCTGATGGGATTATTATGAAGATTCAATGAATCATATAAAATATTTAGCAAAATGCCTGGCTCATAATAAGTGCTGTTATTGTTATTAACATTTGTATACTACTTTACAAAGTGTTTTCCCAAAGCAGTAGTGACTCCTGTGTGCCAGATTTAGCTTTCAGCACTTTTTATCCATTTATCACTAATCTTTACAACAATCTGGTAAATTTGGTGTTTTGACCCCCGTTTTACAGCTGAGGAAACTGAAGCTCAGAATGGTTAAATAATTTGTGCAAGCTTGCCCAGCAAATGGCAAAACCCAGGCCTTTGACTCCAACTTCCATTCATTTCTACTACAAAAACTATAACTGAACAAAGGGTATTGCTTAAACTAGGATTCCAGATTATGAATTTTCCCTTTCAACTTAAAAACAAATTATGTTCCAAAAGTTTATTTGTGAGGTAGTAAGTGGATGGAAGGAAGGAAGGAAATATTCATCCAGCAAATATTTCTTTAGTTCCTAAGTCTGTACAGATGAACAATACACAGTTAAAGAGAAGGAAACAGACCAAAAATTGCATTGCAGAATGAGAAGTGATATAAAACATAACATGCACAAGGTACTGTAGTGGCACAAAAGAGAAAGTGGTCATTTTTGACTGAGGTGGTTAAAGGAGGGTTTCCAAAAGACAGGGCACTTGAGCTAGGGCCTGAAAGATGAGTAGGAGTTTGTCAGGTAGACAAAGTGGAATTATTTTAGACAGACGGGTGGGACGATATTGTATAAGACTTTATGTGCCATACAAAGGAGTTTAGACTTTATCTAGCTGCTGAGGAGTTGCTGAAAGGTTTTCAGCAAGACAGTAATATTTAAAGTACTGAGATCACCTGGCAGAAGTATGGAAGGTAGATTGTTAGGACTGAGTCTGGAAGCAGTGAGAACAAATTGGAAACTGTTAGCCTCCAGACAGTATATGGTGATACCCTGAATTAAGACAGGGGCACCGGGATAGCCTGGAGAGACGTTTATGAGAAACGTAGTACTCAAGGACTGATAAGATAATTGAGAGTTAGGCAAAGGGCAACATGTAGGATGACCAAGTTTTTGATTTGGTTGATTAGAGTGGCCAATTTAAATACACAGAAAGTGGAAAAGAGTATATAATGAAAATGAATTCAGTTTCAGGCATGCTAAATTTGAGGTGCATACAAGTGGAAATATCCTAGATAGTTCAATATATTATCTCACTTTGAGTCTCAAGAGAAAGCTCTGGGCTTAGTATATAGTGTTGGCATCCTCACCATGGACTAGGGATAATGACAGGAATCTTCCATATGTCCTGCAAGGGACCTCCTTAATTTACAGAGTTTTCTGAAGATCCGCACAACACATTATATCTCATGACCAGACTCTGCTTACATCTCAGGACCACATACCACAGAGACTGCTAGGAACTGCAAATGTTTAGCTGAGCACATTGCTGTCCCAAATAAAATTGGGATTCCTTAAGGAAGAAGGAGAGATTTGATATTGGATCAGAAATCAGCAGTCTGCCAGATAGATGATAAAGTCAAACATCTACTTATATTTCATATTTGTGACATATAATATATATTTAAACTGTGTTATATAAAATATTAGTTCAGAAATATGTTTCTACTCTCACATTTTATGAAACAAGTTTATGCAAATCTTCACATGCATTTGACATCAGTATCTTTGTTATCACTGGAACTAGTTTGTGAATCAAATATTTTTCCAAAGGATATCAGCTTTCCTAAAGCTATCTGAGATTCAGAGAATCCCTTCTAATGTCTCACTGGAAATTCTATAATGCAAAATACCATTTGTACACATTAGGGCAGGGTTTTTTGTTTTCTTTAAAAAAATTCATTCTTCAGGTATATAATTGTGATTTCAATAACAACTGTTGCTTTGAGGGGTCTTTATGAAGACTTATTTCCATTGGCTCCAGGCCAATTCACTGCAGGCCACTTAACCTACTTCCTTTCATTATGACA